AAATCTTTTCAGTCTTATAAAAAATATAAGTACAAATGTGAGGAAAAAAATACAAATAATCAATGGATATCTTATGTATATTCTTTAACAATAATTGACCTTTAGTAATTTAAAATCTGATCTTAAATAAGGTTTTTTTTTTATTCTCTTCATTGAAACTTTTTTTTTTTTTTTTTGCTCAATTCCAAGAACTGTTCTAATTATTGAACTTATTCTTAGTGTTACTTTTGTTAAAATTATTCTTTTCTGCAAGTACAAGATCCTATAAAACACAAAAGGACCATTTGTCAGTCATACAACCCAATATCCACTTTAGTAACAGGATATTCTATAGTTGGAAAAAAATATTGAGATTACTCATATAGAATGTATATTATTTTTTTTTCTTTTAAAATCATACTAAGACAAAAGGAGAGACTCTTCAGAAATTAGTGGCAAAAAGCAAAGAAATAGTGTCAAACCATATCAAACACTGAAATGGAAGAGAGTAAACCAATGTAGTTGGTATATCAACAATTTCTTGTTTTCTTTTGTACCTATTTATGAGAGAAAAAGAAAGAAGAGCAGAGAGAGAGAGAAAGAGATTGTCTTCACTGTTGCAATGATTTCTGGTAACAACAGCTATACAAGGTGTTCCATAATACAAACAGCATTCAAGTAGAAAAATAGTCACACAACTTTTGAAATATTAGAAATAAAACATTTTATATATTTTTGCATATAAAATCTGCAAATTGTTACCTAGTAATTTAATGTCTTAACTGGTATACACCACACCTTTATTAACGCAAGTACATTTCTCATGTCACACACAATAGACTATAGATCTTGGTTCAGAATTAGATAAACTTCAGTCCATGGTCATATTATTTTTTCTTTTGTACTCCTTTGTTTGCTGTCTTGCACCTTACTGTTTGACTGAAGGAAAAGAGAAAGCCGTTTGTATTTCATTGTTGAAGAAGAAAATTTGTAACAATCTATGAAACTTAAAAGAAAAAGAAAAAAAAAGGCGGAAATTTGGAGGTTTTTATAAACATTGAAATGAAATAAAATTACTTTGGCTTTCTATTATTAGTTTCTTAATCAGTTAAATAAATTTATTTTTAAAACAGAAAAGAACAGATCTTATTTCTCGGTAGTTAATTATCTGTAGAGTTAGCAATGTATTCACCAAGGATATATAAATCTAGCAAATTAGAGAGAAAGAAAAAAAAAAAAAGGAGCACATATCTATATATGTGCTACTGTAGCCTTTGTCAAGCCTGATAATGGATATAGTAGCTATTCTGCTGCAGTTACCTGGGCAGGTAATAATTTTCTATGTACTTATTTATCCATTCATTTCTATAAGATTGTTACATACCAATGACAATAGTCACAATGTCTAGTAACAGAACAGAGAATTAGTATAAAAGTGATATTAAGCAGTCAAAAGTGGAATTCAAACTATTTGATGAATGTTTCTAACTTGCTAACCAGTATAGCAATTCACATTATATTGCGTGTGTGGGACATACATAAACAATTGCTGGAAAACAATTCTAGATTAAATTAGAAATTCAAAAGAGTGAATAAAAAGTTCATTAAAGTTAACTGAACTATCTTGGATAGTAAATAAACAATATAGATTTGAAAATTTGACAATCTTTAATCTTCATGTCTGCAGAAAAAAAAAAAGAAGTGTTAAAAAGAGTTTCTTCCCTTGACACAACTATCATTTTAACTACCTTCACTCCTTGGCAATGTTAGTCTTAAAAAGTGATGGTTAAAATTTAAAAAAAACTGAAAGTGAATTTATACATTTTCTCGGTTCTTGAGAATTGAACACACACACAAAAAAAAAAAAAAAGCCATTTATTTATTAGATTGTTTATTTACATCATTATATTGTTTTATTGGAATGGTTGGCAAAATACTGACACATTGCCAACTGATTTGAACTTTATAAAATGGTAAATAAAAATTTTATTATAGTCAGTTCACATATTTTAATGTTTATTTTTAAATGTTTATATATTTATGAATAAAAATGGTTTTCATATTTCTTTATAAATTATAAATATTGCATTAGTTTTTAGAATGTTGTAAATATAAAATTGTCTTAAAAAAAAAAAAAAACACAATCTAATACTGCTTAATATTTTTGTTGATTCTCAAAGAAAACTAATTCACTTTTATCATGTGAATTATTATTAGTATTATTAAAATTCTAATCAATGTTCTTTTTTTTTTTTTAAACAAACATTGCCAAGTGAAGGCAGTTAAAATAATAGTGACGTCAAGGGAAAAACCATCCTTTTGACATTGTTTTTTCCTGCGGGCATAAAGCTTAAAGATTGCCAAAAACTTTGTTTTTACCATATTATGACTGAAGAGAAAATTGAAGAAATGAATGAAAATTGAAAATAAAACAAAAATAAACAATCTTAAAATTTTTAATGTATATATTTATATATATATATTATATATATATATATATATATATTTTCCATCTTCATTT